TTGTTCAGATGATTTCAAGTTCATTAACTTTTAAATCAGTTAAATCATAAGGCATTATAAAACTATATTGAATTTAACCCTATCGGTAACTTTCAAATATAAGAATGACTTGTATATGTACTAATCCGTTATCCATTTTAAAATTTAAAAATTAGTGTGTATTAATAATAAACTTCATTCTACAAATTCAATAAATAAAAATCGGACAAAAATGGAAATATTAATAGAATAATTTATCTTTATGTTAGAGATTTCTATAGTATGAAACTAGAAAAGACATTCCGGAATTTACATATTTATCGTAAAACTAATTGTATGTATGTAATTTAAGAAAATTATTTGTGTATAGTGTCCAGCAAAGTTGTAAACTTTTAGGTCCAATGCTAAGTGGAAACTGCTAATTAGAAGAGATAATCATTTAGAGCTCATTGTTGTTGATCAACAAGCAAAAACGATCTACATTATGGGACAAAAACATGATTTTTTAAGACGGTGTAACTGAAAATATTCAAAGAAAAGATCGATCGGGGTAAAATTGTCACCAAAAAAAGTTTCAAACATCACGTGACAAATATGACCGGACAGAGCTTAGGGACGCAAATCTTACGTTTTTGATACTTTTGCACTTACTTTTTTGATACACCTAAACATACCCTAAAACTAACCAATAGGACTGTATATTTTTATAATAAAACTTTAATAAAAAGTATAAAAATTTTAGGGTATGTTTAGGTGTATCAAAAAAGTAAGTGCAGGATTATCAAAAATGTAAGTTTTGCCTTAGGGACAGAGCAGAATCACGTGATCCTAATCGCTAATTAATTAATCACATGATTCTGCTCTGTCCCTAAGTTCTGTCCGTAGAATATTCGTATAAACTAGTAGTCTATCTGCGGGACACATGTAGATCAAGGAACCCAGTGATATCACATTACATGAATTATGCAATGACGTCATTTGTTTACTTGCACTAACAAAACTGGTCTAAAACTATACTATCACCTGACCCTAACATGAGTTAGGCCGAATAATTAATTACGCAATGTGATGACCACGAATATACGTATCATTGGGTTCCTTGATCTTCAATCTTCCCAATTTGGCAACTTGTATCGAAAGTCTCTCCCCAAACCATAACAACGGATACAAAACACCTTGCTGAAATTCATCCGAATCTTGCAAAAACTAATTTATTCCTGTCAGCAAAGTCAGTGTTTCAGCTGCTTTCATATTTTCCAGTAACTGAATCGATAGGTTATCGATTCAGAATCAATAGGTTATTGGCTTTGGTTGATGTT